AGTCTCAATCTATGCAATAACAGAGTTATTTTTAAAAAAGGATCAACAGAAACGGACTTCTATTCTTTCAAAAATCATGTGCAAAAATGGTGGTTATAGGCTTCGCGCACCATATGTCAAATCATTTGACAGATACTCTAATGGTTCATTTTTTAATAATTTAAAATTAGTTAAAATATTATAGTAAAAAAAATAGTTAAAAAAGAAAAGAATAATAATCAAATCAAATAAAAAATTAAGTCAATTTTATATTATTTAATTCCTGAATAATATACTCTGAAATTCTTCTATGTGATCTATATTTTTTGACAGCATACTCTGCCAACTTTCCAATAATTCCATTCCTATATAGATCCATGTATCTCCATGATTTCCTTGCAAATCTTCTAATTGTTATTACATCTATTGAATTTAGAGCTTCTGGAACAGTATTTATTAAACCCTCCCATGTATAATCACACTTCTCTCAAGTGTATTTTTTTGCTTTACCACAATAAAGTTTAACTCACAATGAAATTTGGGGTAAAAGATGCATAAGTTTCCTGCTTCTAAAATAGCTTCTTCCAATGCACACTTCTGATTTTTAAAATCAGGCTGCATTGAAAGAATTCTTCTTGCACAACAATCTACCCTATTTTCATCTAAAACTTTACCTTTACCTTTACATAATTTGCAGTCTGCTAATAAATCATCTCTCCACAGTCCCCTTTCAAATAATACTTGTCTCATTCCTTTTGGTGTTCCATCTTCAAATACCATATGTTGTAATGTATTGTTAGGTCCAAAGGTTGTATTTCTTATTTTAGGTTTTTTTCCACCTGGACTTAAATTCATCCTATTAACAACAAGAGCATCTTCCTTGTAAGAAGCATGATTAGTGGAATTGTCAAATGCAAATAGAGCAATGCAATTAGGAAAGAGAATTTCAAAAATTGGAATGGCTTTTAATTCAACTTGTCCTACTAAATCATCACTTTTCCAATAGCCTTCATGATTTTTTCCTGGTTTCAAAATTGTTTTTGCTTCCTCAGGAACATCTGGGTTATCTATAATTTGATCCTGGTTTAAACATAATCTCCCATGAATCTCGGTTAAAAACTCACTTACCATAATACATCTTCCATTGCCCTTTTTTTTCAATGGCAATTCACCATCCCTTGCCCAAGCTCCTCTCTTTCCATCATTAGAGTAAAAGATGCACTCATCATGAGTAACTAATATTGTTTCCTTCTTATCAGGACTAAGAATTGGAGGAATTGGTTCTAAGGTTTCATCATCAAATGTTGTCATATACTTTTCATAATTAAATATTTCTTCTAAAATTTTTTTTCTATATTTGACAACATCTGGCCTTTCATGACGACCATCATAATATATATCCTGATGATTTTGCTTAAAAGTATAACCTAATACATTCAACCATCTTGAGGCTGTAGTAATACTCATGCTCTTTTTAGTAGTTCCAGTATCTAATAGCAAATTTTGCTCAATGAATTCTTTAAACTTTGTTGGTGTTGTTGTTCCTCCTTGACTTCTTATCCATAAATGAGATTTTTCAGCAATATCCTCATCATCAATTAATCTGATAATTTTTTTATGCTTATCTTGTTTACTAATAGGAATTGATTTATTTGATAACCAATATGATGCCCAATATCTTACTGTTCTTGACTTACATGGTGCAGGGTCAATAAAAACTATTTGTGCTGCTTCTAAGCTAGAATTTATTTTGTATTCAGAAAAAGCCATATTATTTTTACCATCTGTTAATTCATTTTTCAAAAATTCTATTTTTTCAAATATATTTTTTTTCCCCCATTCATTATCTTCATTATCTTCATCACCTTCATCATCCATAATCTTTTCCCAGTCACCAGGTAAATTTTCAGATTCTTTAGATTGAAAAAAACAGTAATCTTTTGACTTCCTTCAGTTGCTTTAGTAAAAGTACCACTTGGACCATATTTGTTAAGTAGAATTTGGAGTCTTGCCTTTCATATACTTGCCTCTCTTTTGCTTTTCTAATGAAGCACCATCAGTCCATTTTAACTCCAATGGTTTATTAATTAAATATTTGTAAATATTTTTTTCTTGTTCTATATTATCTTCTTCCAAGTCACCATCATCATCATCATCATCATCACCCCATTCAACCTCATCATCAAGAATTTTTATCAAAGAATCATCTGATTCTATTTGTTTTATGTCTTTTTCTTCACAGATAATATCATTGTCACCATGTTTGAGAGTGGTGCAGGGTCAATAAAAACTATTTGTGCTGCTTCTAAGCTAGAATTTATTTTGTATTCAGAAAAAGCCATATTATTTTTACCATCTGTTAATTCATTTTTCAAAAATTCTATTTTTTCAAATATATTTTTTTTCCCCCATTCATTATCTTCATTATCTTCATCACCTTCATCATCCATAATCTTTTCCCAGTCACCAGGTAAATTTTCAGATTCTTTAGATTGAAAAAAACAGTAATCTTTTGACTTCCTTCAGTTGCTTTAGTAAAAGTACCACTTGGACCATATTTGTTAAGTAGAATTTGGAGTCTTGCCTTTCATATACTTGCCTCTCTTTTGCTTTTCTAATGAAGCACCATCAGTCCATTTTAACTCCAATGGTTTATTAATTAAATATTTGTAAATATTTTTTTCTTGTTCTATATTATCTTCTTCCAAGTCACCATCATCATCATCATCATCATCACCCCATTCAACCTCATCATCAAGAATTTTTATCAAAGAATCATCTGATTCTATTTGTTTTATGTCTTTTTCTTCACAGATAATATCATTGTCACCATGTTTGAGAGCTTCTACTGAAGAATCATTCAATTCTTTTGTTTTTTTAATACCAAAAGTTCCATTAGAATTTCTTTCTTTACTATTTACTAGGTTTCTTGTGTGCAATTTTCTTTTAGATGGTCTTGGCATTTTATAAAATGAATAATATTAAAAAAAAATGGATATTTTTATTGGTGCGACTAAGGTTGTGGGCGAAACCTCTTAATGACTGTCGAAACTCTGTCTAAACTCTAATGAACAATTAATGTGTAACCTGTCAAAACTCTGATGATTGGTGAAAACCCCAAATGCGAAACTCTGCTGAAACTCTAATAAACAATTAATATGTAACCTGTCAAAACTCTGTCGATTGATTTCTGGAGGAATTTCTCCCGCAACCTTAGGTGCGACATAAACCAATGAAAATTATCAGCGATCACTTACTTTTTATGGAAAGAATTTTAGTCCGAAATTTTGAAATTTGTTAATAAAAATTTTGTGCTATAAACTTTTAAAGTCAGGTGACCATTTTTGACGTTTATAGGTGACGTGCACCATAGTACTAAGTAAAGTATGTCAAAATCGCGGATGCCGACGGATGCAGCTGGAATTAAGTTTAAAAAACGTTAAAGAATATCTCTGTAAAGTTACAGTACGTGTCACGCGTCAATGTGTCGCCACTTTAATTGAGCACATAGTTTTTTTACTTTAAAATTACATTACACGACATAAAAAATTAGTGCAACATGAATGTCCACCATCGAGATATCCGCAAAACCAAGATATTACAGTGCAGGACATCTATAATGGTCAATAGTCCGAAACTTAAAATTTTAGAAGATCTTTCTAATTTAAGTAATCATATTCCTTTTATTGGAAAGATTGTCTGTATCACGGAAAATTTTTAAGCCGATCATCAACCTTTTAGGAAACCACAAGGGAATATCATTCCGAAATTTTACAATTTACATATAGACATATATAAAATGTTCTAACTTTCAAGCCTTATAACTCAAAACTTTTCTAATAAAATGAAAAAGTAAACCGATGGAAATGAAGCTTAGGTCTTTAGCTTTAATTTTATCGGTTTATTTTTTTTTTTAATTTTTTTAATAAGGAGTTATAAGCTTTTAAAATCATGTGATAATCATTGACCGTTATAGATGTCCTGCACTATATTATTTGCGAATTAACATTTAATAGGCAAAATGACTGGTATTGAACAAGCAAATTTTTCAGAAATTAAAGAAACCTGCTAGGAAAATATAGAGAAAAAAAGGAACTCTGAAAACAACCCCAGCTTATCTAATATTAATTATGCCAATTATTCTATCTGGTAATTAAAAACTTATTATAGAACAAGAAACAAATAAATAAATGGAATTGCAAAATTTGCCAAATTTTGAACCCTGAAAATTCTTTGTGACATAATGTTCACCTTGTTGGGTTTTGTTCGTCCCATATTTGAAATTTCCTGATTTTTTTTACAAATCGTAATAATATGGCAGATTTAACCAACTGCGCATCTATTGTTGCTACTGTAGAATCTCTTACTAATAATGAAAAAGTTAAAACTTCACGTACTACTCCTCGTGACATTAGTGAAGTTGGTTGGATATTTGTTCAAGAATATTACACCTTTTTACATAAAGAACCCAATCGACTTCATTGTTTTTACGGTCAAGCTTCTCATTTTATTCATGGAAGTGAGGGTGAACAAGTAAGAACTCTGATTGGTGAAAAGGTTGGTGTTTAATTAATACTTAAATATACCATATATTTATTAAAATAAAACTTGTTACGATTTAGTTTATGTACATATTTATATATTTACATTTGAATTAAAAATTGAGATTCTTTAATAATATTTAATGTTATAATTCTAACATAAAGAAGATGAACATGTCGAATAATTTTTTAAGGAATACACAAATATTAATAAACATTTCTTTTCATAAATAACAGGAAATCAACGAGAAAATTAAATCATTAAATTTTAATAATTGTAAGGTTGCTGTGACAAATGTCGATTGTCAAGCTTCAAAAGATGATGGAATTCTTATTCAAGTCTTGGGATTGATGAGTAATCATGATGAGCCGCCTACAAATAAAATGAATAAAACAAATAAATGAACAAAACAAATAAATGAACAAAACAAACGACTCGAATAAAACAAATGGCTCAAATAAAACAAAGGTAAAATCTAAACACAGATAAAACAAATGATTTAGATAAAACAATGATTCGAATAAAGAATAAATGAATAAAATGAATAAATGAATAAAATGAATAAATCAAATAATTCGAATAAACAAATGATCCAAATAAATATAAAAAAATGATTCGAATAAAATAAATGATTCGAATAATTCAAATAAAACGAGTAATAATTCAAATAAACAAATATTTCAAAGGATTTGTATCAGAAGGAATAGGCATTCATAGAGACGATGAATGAAAATTTGATTTATGATATTACCTCCAAGTTACAAATTTTGGATCTTTTGGTTAGCACAGCCACAAAAACATCAATTGTTCACGAGCACATCGAAAATTCTGTTGAAAAGAGAGCTGATTTAAATAAAGAGAAAAATGAAACTTTAAGGGAAAAAAGACAGATGTAAGGAAACATATATCAAAATCAAATGCTTTTATCATCATCACCATCATCATTATCATTAGTCGTTCTTGTTGTTTAACGAGACACTTTTACATATTTTCATTTTTTATTATTGTTGTTAAAATTAGCACATCTTCCATTGGTCAAATTGCACAAGGTATTATGCCAATTTTGAATCCAAGAAAAGTGGGAGTTCTGACATAAAAAACCGACTGAAAAAAAATATGACAAGGCTTCAATCCTAAAACAACTCAAAGATGAAGAAATATCATTACAAAGAAAGGTATATCAAAGAAGGATAATGTTTCTAAAAGTTATCGTTTTTATAGATCCTTTTTTTAATAAAAAAATAATTGATAAAATTAGGAAGAACAAATTGAAAAAGACAAGAAAAAATATGTAATGCCTCATTCTATACCTTTAGGATATGATAGATTTTATAACAAGTATTTTTATTTTGATGGTTTGGGTATAACAGTTGGAGAAAAATATGGTACAGGTAAAATTTGGGTACAAGTTCCCCAGGAACAAGATTTGAGAATGTTAACTGATAGAGATGTGCACCATTATTACAAAAGAAAAAAAGCTGAAGATTCAGGTATGAATTTTGACAATGGGGTTACTATGAAGACGTATCAGATGTTAGTAATTCTTCAAATATTTTTTTGATATATACTTGTGTAATTGGGATTTCTATTAATCTATTTACTTATTCATTAATTTATTTATTTAGATTGATCAATTGATGAAATGGCTTAACACAAAAGTGAACAGAGAATCTGTATTGAAGAATAAACTTTTAAATCACTATCAAGAACTTTCGGCTTGTTTAATGAAAAGGAAACAGGTAAGATTGATCAATTATACCTTAGTGATTACAATATATATTAGTTTGTTATTTGTTTTAAATAAATAAATTATTTATAGGATTTGACCACACCTTGTATGACAATTGAAGTGAGAAGTAAACGAGTACAAATTACTAATGCAGTACTTTCTTCACAGTCATGAAATGTATAAATAAATTAGCCAAATAAATAATAATAATCTAAAAGTAAAAAAAATAAAAATAATAGATATCTTTTATTATAATAATATTTAATTATTTATTTTTTTGTTATAGAAAACTTTTATTCTTTAATTTAAAATGTTATTCTATAAAAAAAAATTTAATATATTTATTCAAAAATTTTCAAATAAAAATAATAAATAATTAAAAATACAATAAATACTATTATACAAAATTTTCTCTAATATACAACACAGATAATAGATAAAATAAAAACAAACAAACAAATAAAATATGAGAAATTGAAAAGTTGTTTATGTGTATATATAATTTCACAATTATTCTTCATTATTTTACTCGTGTTCATTTTTCCGCAAACCATTTCTAACTGCCAAAACTGAATCCTAATTCATCAATTAATAAATAATTAAATTAATAATCATGTTGATTGATCATCATCAATAATTAATTAAATAAAAAAATAAAATTACCACAATAACAGCATCAACGCCAGCTTTTCTTTGCAATTTTACATTCTCTACATTATTGTTCAACTTTCCATATGTAAACAACAACAGGCCAGTTTTCTTGATTGTCCTGACCAATTCAGGTGCCTCTAGAATTGGTGTATTTAACGTAACAATTCCTGACAAATCAAAGAATTTAGCAAATTTGATAGCCTCGTGAATCGAATTGCACCTAGCATCGGCCATCTTTGTATATCCAGCATCTGTTAAGAAAAAAATCGGATAATTTGGTTGTTTGAAAGCCAACATTAGACAAACACTTGGGTGGAATGATGAAAATATTATATTACGATCTTGCTGTGCATTTTCATAAACACAATGCAATATGGTGTCGATAAAAAAATTCAATTCGGTATGGAATGGTGATAAATTTTCACATTCAGATTCATCGATCATTGGATATTTCACTTCTATATTGAAACCAATGTTGATGGGAACTTTCTATAAAAGGAATTATTTCATTCAATCATCTTTATTATACATTATATTTAATATATTACTAATATTATCGGAATTACCTTAAAAGTTTCAGCCAATGTTGCAAATGGTGCTTGAATTGAACCGGCACTATTACCTTTAAACTTTATTTCAGTATTAATATTCAAATTGTTATATGAGTCAAGAGAACTTGTACTATTATGCTTTTTTAATATTATTGCATTATTGGTACTGCTGCTGTTACCACTAATATCAATACCAATACTATTGTTGTTACTATTGGTATTTGATGATGGATGAATGAATTCTTCAATAATTTTACGATCTTGTATTAAAAAATTATCAATATCAAGTTTGTTGTTGTTATCATTTCCTTTTGAGGAAAGCTCTTTCTTTTTAAAATTAAGAAATTGTCCAAGAGTCACTTCATGAATGGGAATATCATAGCCTGATTCACTGAAAGTCCAATCATGATAAATGACTGGGACGTGATCTTTTGTAAGTTGTATGTCTATATATGTATGTATTTGAATGAAAAGAAAATTATAAAAAATAAATGAATGTATTATGATTATAATGATGATGATTATAGTAAAAAGGAACATACCGAATTCAACATATTCAGCTCCAAGTGATGCAGCGGTGATAAAACTTATTAAAGTATTTTCTCCCAACTGCAAACTTGGTGTAACAGTATTAGCACCCATGCCACGATGACCAATTACTGTAGTGGTGAACGATCTATGAAATGTGTTTCTTTTATCAAGCATCATTTTAGGATGTTTAAATGGGTTGACAACCAAAACTTCAAACATGACTTCGCCTATTAAATCAAGTCCTTGAGTGCTGATTATAGGAATTGTTGTTGAGCATGTCAACGAGGCATGAATTGAATCAGGTGATGACAATGAAGATGGTTTAACAAATGATGATAGTAATGCTGTAGCACGTCCAATAAGTTGTTTTTTTGCACCATATGTTGGCATTATGTCAAATGTTAAGATGACATCTCCAGGATTGGTTGCATGAAAAATTATAGGATCTGTTGATATACTTGAAAGTTCTACAACAGATGGTTCACCAGTGGCATTTTCAGCAGATATTACAAGTGACATTGACACAAATGAAAATAGATTGGATGATGGTAGCTTTTTATCATATAATTGTACTGAAGTCACACCTTTACGAATGTCAGTATTTCCCAATGTAACAATTATCATGGATTGAGTTTTTAGATACTTATGGCCAACTAAAACTTCTTTAGTAACATATTGTCCCTCTTCTTCTAATAATGATTGTTTAGAATCGGATGCTTTGTTATTTGAGGTTGGTGATGATGAGTGAGGTTCAAATTCAGAAATTGTAGTTAATGGATGAAGAAGATTTTTTAATTCAATATGACCATGAAGAATTGAATATGCATAAGGTGTTAATCCAGAATCATCTTTAACGTTTGGATTAGCTTTAGCCTCTAATAAAAGTTTAACAGCTTCTACATGCCCTTCGATGACTATTAATAAAATAATTAATGGTGAGGATCATGATGATGGTGATGATGACGATGATGGTGGTGATGATGATGATGATATGAGGTCTTTTCAATAGAAACAAGGACAACATTGAAAATGATGTTTTGAAAAAAAGGTCTGCATTTGTTTTCTATTGTTTTTATTAATTCAAAATCATAATTTTTGACATTGTCCTTGTTTCTATTGAAAAGGCCCCAAATATATATGATGTTGATGTTGATGATGTATGTGATATATATATAAATTTTTTTTGATTACCTGCTAAAAATAAAGGAGTCTGGCCATAAAGATTTTCTTTAATTTCAGTATTTGCTTTTATTCTCAAGTACTCTCCATTAACAACACCACTATTATTATCATTTAATTTTAATTCATTGCCATCATTGTCGACATCATCATCATCATTATCCAAACTTAACAATATCTTAATACATTCTAATGAACCATTTTTTGCAGCAATATGTAATGGAGTTTCACCATTTTCATTTTGAACATTAGGATCTGCACCATCTGACAATAGTTTTTTTACAGTTGAGCAATTATGTATTTTTTCAACATCATTGTCACCATTATTGATATTCTCCATTGGCCTAAAATAATATCAAAAATAATAAATTAATTGATTTTTGATGAACCAATTTAAAATTTTTTAGAAATTGGAAGTCAACTGGAAGATTTATCTATAATATAAATTCTTTTATATATTTCAGGTAAAAAATAAAATACATTTATTTATAGTAAGTTTACTACCTCTTTGCTATAATAATTTAATAACAGCAATAACTGATAAAAAAGAAAAAAAATATTATGTCACACCAATAATAAAACATATTTTTATATTGTCTATAACTCATCATTATTAGAAATAATTGGTATTGATCATTATTATTTATAATTATTATTGTTAATATTTAAAGACAAGTAAAATTTCGTTTGAATGTTGTCTGTAAAATAATTGGCTCATACATAAATTTGTATTTAGAAGGATTTATACGATTTAAGGTTTGGTCCAAATAATTATCATATTTAGAAGGATTCACGCGATTTTAAGGCTTTGGTACAGAGAATTACCGTATTTAGAGCGATTTAAATAATTTTTATCCATTTTGACCGCCTGCGGTTACTATTACCTAATACTACGTAATAGTAATGTATAAAAATAATGATTTTATTATGCCGCCGATCTGATCATTACTACTATGGTGCGCCTTATCTAAAGACATCAAAAAAAATTGCAAATCTTTAAACCCTGATAACTTTGGAAATATTAGTTGGTCCATAAAAAACTCTATTTTTGCAATCTTTGGAACATAAGCAACAATGTAATAGAGATATTTTTTAAAGTTAATTAGTAAAATAAAAAGTTATGGGAGTTTAAAATTAAGTAATTTATTACAATATAATTAAAAAATTCGGCACGCCTATCAAACTAATTTGATCAAAGCATAGTGGAAGTTTGTTGTTACACGAAATGTTATACAGAACCCATTGCTCCTGAAACTTCACCATTATATAGTTGTTACCTCTCTAAATTGGAGATCAAGTTCAGATCCAATTCAAATCTAGTTTATCACTTTTTTTATTGTCAGAATGTTTACCGTGTATTGTAAAGTTACGTTGCACAAATATAAAAAATCTGTGTAACATTTCAAATTTCCACTATGTTTTTGACCAATCAGAAAACTAATATAGATCAACTTTTATCACGTAATGCATCTAACAATAATATATCAACATAGATTCTGGCAATTTTCTGAGATTTATATTTTTTTTTTTTTTGCTGCAAATATTAAAGCTTTTCCTGAAAGTCCTATCTATAAGCACTCATAAATATACAACATCTTCTAACAAACTTTCTAATTTTACAAAGTGAAACCGAGTTCAATGCCAGAGGATCAGTTCTCTCTAATTTTTTATATAAATAATTACAATTTTTTCTAGTGTATTCTTTAGTTACTTCCCAAAAACTTTCTATATAATTTAATTCACAATGATTTCTTGATCAGCATTAAAAATTTTCGGCAATAAGCGCAGCATTTGATGTCATTAGTAGAGGTTGGAACTGGTTTATCGATTATGAAAAATAGGAACCGGTTCCAACCTCTAGTCATTAGATACGAAGTACCATCCATATCTGAACTATTTCTTAATCAGGAAAGATCACTGTTAAAATTTTCGGCAAATAGCGCAGTATTTGATGTCTTTAGACGCAGCGCACGAAGGGTCAATACACCCAGCATGAGTTCCATTCCCTCACTTGCTGGACTTTAATAACACATTTAAGTGAGTCACATATGCTTTGCATGTCTTACCCGAGACGAGTACTAGTAATGGAAAATGAGCCTTATATTTCAAGTTGTGCATGGGATATAGTTTACAACCATAATTTTTATTGTGTAATCCTGCGTAATCTAAAAAAATAAAAATAAAAATTCAATAGAAAAAGTATAGTTGGCGAATTTGTGGAAGTAACTGCATGTTCAATAATTTGAACTTTCATTGAATTCC